ATTTGTCACTTTTTTATAGTGAACAGTGTTTTAAAATCATAGTTGATGGTAAAAAAAAAATACCTTACTAACCAACCAGCTGATTTTTCTTGTGTTGTTTTATATGCTGCAGAGAGGCAAACAGTGAGGCTATGTACTTATTTAATGATACAGTGTTTTGGCTGTTTTTTTTAATACAAAGTAGCAATGAAAATTAACCACACAATAATTTTCATTTTTTCATGATAAAAAAAAAAAATACAGGAAGAACAAAGAAAATCTTTTAGTGGCTGTCCATTTTAATAAATCTTAAAAACAAAAAAACAGCTGCTTTATTCTACTTAATTAACATTAGAACCTTTTGTTTTATTTTCCTGCTACAAGAATCTGTTATTGGTAACATATAATATCTGCATTGCTCCATAGTTCATAGCAGCAGCAGCAGCAGGAATCATTTTGGCTTTTCTTTTTTTGAACTATTAATTTGGGCATTGTTACTTTTTTTTTTAGTGAAGTTTGTGATAAAGTTAGAATTCTAATTCCAGGCCCATGCCTCATGAAATATATCTATATTTTCAGATTCTGGAAATAAAATTCCCACCAAAACATATTGTAAATGTCTTTGAAAAATCAATATATCCTTTTAGTTTTACTTTTAGTTGTCTAATTTTATTTTAATTACTCCTGAATGGCAAAAATCTACTGATAATCCTTGAATTCTTGTTGTTTTTGTCGACTGATCACTATATTCTGTTTGCACACCGGGTCCATTCCCTCCTTCCTCCTCGTTACAGTAAATTAAAATCCTCCTCAAATGTAATTGCTGACCACAGAAGTGACTTCCCCAATCCCATCAAGTCTTTAAGTTGGGTTTAACCAGCTAATCCGTCCCTGAGCGATCTGAATCTGGTCACCTCGGTTTACCCTGCTGGCTGCTTGCCTGCAGATCTAAAGAAGCGGATTTGTATTCAGGAGGTATTGTGTGAAAATCAGGCTTAGGAGACCCTGACCTTCATGGTAAAGATATTAGAATAGTTAACTTCTAAATGCTGCTTTAGCCTCATTTTTTAGAGTGGTAAAATATTACTGTCTTTTAAAATGCATCAGGTGTTCTTGGATTCTTGGAGTTTGCATTAGTGCACCGTTTTCAGAAGTGCAACAATCCTGTACGGAGGAATGTATAAGCTCTGATGATCTAAAATGTCCAGTAAGCACAGTATGTAGAAGGAACGTGGGCTGAAACAATCTGATTAATCGTGATTAATCAATTATTGAAATAATTGTCAACTAATATAGTAATCAATTAATAATCAACTGGAGTTTAAAGACTGTAAAACATGTCTTTAGCTAACAGAGCAACTCACTTAGAGCAGTAATTATATCAAAATTGTACAAAAATATGTAAATATTTGCATTTAAGGTATAAAAAAAAAAAAACATTTAAATTTATTAATATGCTCTATCCAGAACACCTCAAGTTGAAAAGTTTTAGTTTCACCTGGTTTAATTTAGTAAAAAATCTTCTTTAAGGAACCTTTGTTTACTGATTATTAATCGATTAATCAATTTACTAAGTAATCCTTAGTTGAAGCCCTACATTTCAATATTACCCTGGTGAAGATGTGTAAAAAGCTTCGAAAATAAATTTTATTGCTGCAGCAAAGTTTCACACAGGAAATATATTAGTCTTTAATTTGAAAAAAACAGAGGCCAGTTTTTCATAATTCCTCTTCACAATAACAAAGATATGAGCACATGAAATATTTAAAAAAGGAAGATGTGTTTTGAGCTTTACAAGATTTACCCAAATAAAAAAAGTCAGGAGAATATTTAAAAGGTGTAAGAGAACCAGAACTGTGATGGCCGAATAAGGATCTGTGTTTAATTTACCACCGCACACAGCGGGCAGGATGGTAAAGGCTGGTCACACCACTGCATCCCACTCTGCAAGCTTTTTTTAATCTTATCGCTACACATACGGTGAGCAGAGCGATATCTTTGCAGGAATGTGCCACACTTTACTCCTCAGTCCCACAAACTGAAACAATGTCCCGAAATCGACAATCGAAATACAAAGAAGCACTTCAGGTCATCTCTAACTTGCATATGGTGTTCTTAAAATACAACAGGTAAAGGATTATGATTTAAACTAAAATATCATGGAAAACCAAATTTAAAGAGTAGAAAATGTAGCCACAAAAGTTGTTGTGGAACGGTTTAGAACTTGGTAGGGCCAGTAAAGGGTGATTGTTAGAGAGGTGTTTTTGTGAAGTTTCTCCAAAGTATTTTTTCTGTTTCATAAAGAAGATAGCACAATAAGCCCTGGATGTATCCCTCCCCTTTGTCCCTCATAAGCATCCTGCATGTTCCACATTTGTTTTTTTAGAGCTTAAAGAGGATCTCCATTTTACTTTATCCATGATAGGAGGTCAGGATTAAAGAAAAACTGACCATTTACACTGTTAATTTAAATGTTTTATTCTTGATGTCCAGCTCTGCCATGCTTGATATATGTACACACATCGGTTTCCTAAACTGGCTGCATTATCTTGTATTTTATAGACTTTACTTAGTGTTTCCTCTCATCAGACGTGTCTCACTTTGATAGTGTGACTTTGTTCCTGTCTGAATCAGGAGTTAAGTCAGTCTGAGGTACAAAAGCACAGCAGCAGAGAATCCTTTCTGACCAGCACTGTTCATTTTCAATGTGCTCTGAGTGCCATGACTTTTTACGACGGCACTAAATCATGTCTGGTGTATTCAGCCTATTAACAGAGGAAACAAGCCATCATGGGATCACCAAGACTCTAAAAAAAAATTATTTTAAAGGAGCAATAATTTATTATTTTGGATTAAAAGAGATAAAAGGATAGTAATTCAAAGAACTGTGTCTTTTAGATGAAGTATGGTGTGAATTCACACATCTTCCTCCTGTGTGGTTCTGCAGTTTCTTTGTTTATCGCTCTTGGTGGAGTAGGTGATGTTTGATATTTTCCTATAAGTGATGAGACAGTTTTTCTTGTGTGTTTTGCATCTAAGTAGCTCCTCGAAGAGTTTCCATGGTTGCCTCGACTGCTTTTCTAATTAATGCTCTCTTTGGAAAGCCTGTCTTTGTAGATTTGAAGTTGTGGCGCATTATTTTCAGATGATGGTCCTCAGTGAGATTTTTAAAGCTTAAAATACTGGTTGATAATCCATCTTCTCTACATCATTCCTCATCTGCTGAGTTCATTCCCTCATCTTCGTGATGCTTTTCAGTATTGCTCTCCTCTCAAACAACCTCTAAAGATTTATTAGCAGTATTTTTCTAGCATAAGGTTCCACATGATTGAACTCTATACACTGAATGGTTGAGTTCTGATGCACTTGCTGTTTGTTTATCAGAGTTAATGGGGACAAAACAAATGCGGCCAACATTTCTAAGATTTTATTGAAAATGTTTTCCTTTCATTTTTCAATCATTCATTCTTCTTTGTCAGTTTATGAAACCACACAACGAAATACGTTAACGTTTGTGGTTGCTACATGACAAGAGTGGATATGGTTAGCCTGTTTCCATAATTTGTGAGATCGAATCAATATCATTCATTGGGAAAAGCTATAAAAAGAGTTTGTGAATATAATCTTAAGCTGGCCTGGTCTTGGTTAGAAGCTCCTTCTCTGAGTTATAGTTTAGTTGATCTAGTGTAGTCCATCCTTACTCACTGACTTGGAGGGATTGGATAAAGTGTTTGCAGTACCCCTCAGTTTTCATGCTCTACATTGTCCGACTTTTCCTTATTTTGGTCTTAATTCTCCCCTTACTCCATATGGCTCTCTAGACAGCTCACCTGCCGGCTGTGGCAGAGCTTTGTGGTGAAAGCACTCGGATCCAGCTCGTCAAGCGCAGCAGCCAAAGTCCTCAGGCCTGAGCTGTCATTTTTTTCTTCTCAGATGCCAGAACAGCTGTTTGTGCACCCCCCCAACCTCCCACCCGCTACACTTGAAAGGAAAGATTTCAGCACAGACCAACGAAGTTTGCTAAGATGTGAATCTGTAGCATATGCGTTTCTGCCTTAAAGTTGCAGAGGATCCTGGAAGAGTTCAGTTTGCCTCGGAGGCATTCGTAAATTGCACTTCTGAAAAAAAGCCAATATTGTGTTTGGGATGTGTCACTCATACTGTAAAATTCAGAGGACGTGTGGTTGTTTTTCCCACTTGCCTTTTTTTTGCAGCTCTTTGTTCAGTTGGCGCTCATTCATCCTGTTGTGTGTGCGCATGTATACATGCAGAGTGGAGTCATCACCTCGTGTTTGCCATGATTAGAGATGGCCTCTTTAATTCCACTTCACCACATGTTGGGATTCATTTGCGTTCTTTGTCAGGAGTTAATGGAGTTTTGAGCGGCTCGCTCTGAAAGTCTTTGAAGACACCAGACCTGATGATGTGATGTGTATACAGCCGCCAGCACTATTGCTTCTGATTGATTTGTTGTCGTTTTGGTTTGCTCTATTGTGTTTCTCTTCATTTTACTCATATTTGAATAGATTTCTGGATGAAATATCATGTCGTTCTTTTTTCTTCTTTTTTTTTTGCGAACTTTATCACACCTCACTGCCTGAATGAAGGACGACAGAGACTTTTCCTCTGTTGCTCTTTTCCCTTAACATGAATACGAGGATTGTAGTGCTCATTTCTTCTATTTATTTGTTGCATAATTGTAAGCAAAGTTCAGTTTTTATTAGCAAACTCTAGGATTTCAAATATTAAAAATAATGTTGCCCTTTTCAAAAAGTTGATATTGAGGTTTTAATAGTTAAACAAGCAACCACTTTCCTAGTTAAATGGGGAGACCCTGACCCTTCCATCCTATTTATTGCTTTGATAATATAATAAACACTGAAAAACTATATGAGGCAAGATACAGTGCTTAGATAAGTGTTCAAAACCTCTTATGATTATTTCTTTACATTCTAATATGTTGTTTAATTAATTTATTTCATTCCACAACTTATTTATATAATAAAGAAAATCATTAATGAAAAGGAGCAGAAAACAATCCTAAACATAACATCTGTCCCTATTCTATTAAAACCGACCTATTTCTGTTTTAACAGGATTATACATATTAAAGAAACACTATGTATTGTCTATTTTTTAAAGTAGAACTAAGATCATATACGTTTTTAGAAAAAGTTTACAAATAGAGATGTTCAGACCTTTTTTTTTAAAACCACCAATTGAGCTGGAAGTCTTCTGTCCATAAACGTTTGTTCCCATTTTCTTTGCAAAATAGTAAAGCTATTTCAACGTAGCTCTGGCTGCAGGTTAACGTTGTCTTCCTTTAAGCTTGTTCTTCACCCATCGTTTCAAGTGTTTGAAACCCCTCAAAGATAGTTTTTTTTCCCATATTTATCTCTGTTTAGTACAATGGACCTTTTTATATAATTTTGACCAGCCTCCTGGATGTTGCTAAAGGAGGTAGAGCAGTAGACCCGCAGAATGATACTGCTTTTCAATGGTGTATATAGCATGTCTAGGGTAATGTGCTGTGTGTTTCTATATACTAATGTTTAACAGTTTGATCTGGAAGGTTAGTTTTGGTATCATCTGATCAGAGTTCTTCCATCCACATCTCCATTAGCCTCTGTAAGCAGGACGACTGTAAAAAGGACAATTTGTTATTGTCCTGTCGACAGTTTTTCTTGTGTGTTGTGGATCTAAGCAGCTTCTCCAAGAGTTTCCATGATTGCTTTGGCTGCTTTTCTAATTAATGCTATCTTTGGAAAGCCCGTATTTGTAGATTTGAAGTTGTGGCACATTATTTTCAGATGATGGTCCTCAGCAAGATGTTCAAATCTAAAGATACTGGTTGATAATCCATCTTCTCTACAAAGTCATTCCTCTGCTGAGTTCGTTCCCTCATCTTCATGATGCTTTTCAGTATTGCTCTCCTCTCCAACACCCTCTAAAGCTTTTTTAGTGGTATTTTTCTAGCATAAGGTTCCACATGGGTGAACTCTATACACTGAATGGTGAAGTTCTGATGCACTTGCTGTTTGTTTATCAGAGTTAATGGGGACAAAACAGATGCGGCCAACATTTCTAAGATTTTATTGAAAATCTTTTCTTTGCATTTTTTTTTATTTACTTTTTCTTTGTCTGTATATGAAACCAACACACAACATACATTAAAGTTTGTGGTTGTTACATGAAAAGAGTGGATAAAGTTCAAGTGGGATACTTTCTTTTTCTGCAGTGTTCTTAATTTGATGGCTTGGAAAGCTGTGGATGTTGAATGATATGTTCAGGAAAGTATGATCTCCCCATTACAGTCTGTTACTCTTTTGGGTTTGTTTTTTTATCAAAACATCTTTATAAACATCCAAATCTAAATACTATTTCAATAGTTTTCAGCAATGAAAGAAAAATCTTTCATATCTTAAGGAGAGAAGCTTAAAATCAGATCACTTTTATTAAGTTAGACAGAGAGGCGGCAGAAAAATGCTCGGCGTCTGAATATTGATTTTTGAGACTTCTGGTTTCACGCTGAGCTCCCTGTGATATATTTCCAAGAAATGAGAAAAAAAACTAAACTTGAGAATCTCTGCAGAGAAGAAAAGCTGATGTTTTCTGCAGATGCATTCATCATTTACTGTCACAAATGCACACAAGTAAATATATCCTCATTCACAGCACTGTGTTCTTAGATCTGACAATATATTTCAGTTTAATTGTCATATTAGACATTGATTACACCCAGGATAAATATGCATCTATTGAATCCTTTTTTTTATGTGGCCAGACTATCCTGTAGCAGTAAAATAGGTCTTCAGTTGTGTTTTAAATAAGTTAACCTCCTTCTATCCAATTTCAAGCCCTGGAGCAGCTCACAATTCTCTTTTAGTAATTATTTCAGAACAAATTAGTTTTCTATAGTTGCTTTTAATGTGTCTGAATCAGGCAAAACTGGAGTTAAGGAGTCTCTTGGTATTTACAGAGTGCAAAAACCTGTATTTAATTGAGCGAATCAATAAATGCTCTAATGCACTGTCAAAAGAGCTGGAAAAATGAGCGGTCTGTTCAGCTGAGCCCAGGTTTCTAGCCTTGTATCATTTATTCTGAGTGATGAATGTATAAATTTAAGGTTTTTAGAAATGAAAACAAGTTGTTCTGGTGGATTCAGCCCCGCAGGGGTTTTTGAATGGGAAAACTTAATGCTTTGCTTAGCTCCACTGCAGTTTCATGCATTTTAAGTTAGAATGGTGTGTCTTTTCAAATCAAAGCCCCTTTTCTACTTCATATATTTGCAAGAACATTATAATTTTTTCTTTTTTTTTTCACAACAGCTGTGATTCTTCGTGCAAATTGTAGAAATGTTCTAAATCTTTTAGGACATGCTTTTTTTAAGAATATCCTCCCATTTCTTCTCTCTACAAGCGACCCTTCCTACCTTTTAGTTGCCCCTCAAATATCACCATTCTACCTGTAAAACAGACTCTCAGTGTCACTGTTGTGAATCTCCTCCAAAGCAGTTTGGTATTTCTTCTACATCCCAGCACATCTAGATAACCTGGAGGGCAGGAATAAAGAAATGCTCCGAAAATTAGCATTAGTGGATATTTTACCCTCATTCCCCACAAATGAGAGCCAGACCATTAACATTTGTGTGTTTTCATTATGTAAATGGTGTTAGTACGTACTCACAAATTGCCAACAGGGAAGCAATAATTTTCTCCTAGTGATCATAATGTTTCCAAGTGCATCGTCTTGATTATGACACACTAATTACATATTGCCTCATCTCTGCTTCTGTTTTTTTTTTTTCTTTTGTCTTGCCCTACAGATTCAGAAAAACCAAGGATCTCTAATGGTAAGTTTTATTGCTATGGAATAGGATAAAAGAAGCCAGAGGTCTCCTTCTCTGCATATAGTCTGTCACTCTTGGTTGAATCTCTCATTTAGGAAAAAAACACACTCAGATTGGATTTTTGCAACAAATTATTAGATTATGCCTAAACTGCTGGTATTATATTAGGTGCTATAATGGAATAATAAAAACCTTGCCTTCCCTGAGCTTGGTGCATGTGATTAATCTTTTTTTTTTTTTTTTTATCACACAACTGATTTCCCTTATTGCTTGGAAATTCAATGCAGGCTAACGCTTTTTTTTTTTTCTCCCATCATCTCCTTCTGCCTCTCTTCGTCAGCCTCTCCAGTTACTGCAATGCATCGTTGATGAGGTGAGTCGTCGTCTTATGTGCTTCTGCATCTAAAGTCAGTCCTAATGGCCCGGAAAGCTTATATTTTGTTTCCTAATGAAGCAAACCACTCAGGCGGCTTTGCTCCCCATTCACTCAACCCTTCACCCTATGCAACAGCCTCAGGCAGAAGACGTACGCACATTACTATAGAGGCTGGTCCCGTCACGAGCGACAGACGCACAAAACACAGTTCTGGATTTTTTGGAATGCAGGAACCCAAATTACATTGATACAGGATTATTTTTAACTTTCTCCAGTAAAGAGGTAATTGTTGCCTCACAGGCTGAAGATGCAACTTTTTTTTTTTCTTTCCTGATAGATGCAACAAGAAAACGTGTTTAAGATTATGAATTATATGGAGAATTGAAACAAACTATTTTTTTTTGGCTATCAGATGCCGGTTCCCTTTTAAAGGGCGATGCAGCTGCAGACTGCAGTGATTTATGACCCAGAATCAAGCTGTGGAAATGTCCAGAGGTAGAGCAGTATTTAGCCATCCATTTTTCAGACATTTTTTCGGTGCAGTTGTCCTTCCTTTACTTTTTGTTTTTTGCAGGTTTTGTAGATAAAGTGTGGCCCCTATAAATAAACTTACAACTTCGCTTGAAAGTTTAGTTACCCTTCCATTAAAGACAGAAAAAAATGAGCTGCTAGTAAAATAAATTGAAATTGACAAAAGTAATACATAAAAGAAATGGAAATCATGATGTTAATTTAATAACTAATGTTGTTGTTTTAAATTGGCACCTGTTGACAAGTATGTTGGTGCACTGTTCATGAGCAAGGCACATTAATTTTTCTCGGACAGTTTGTTTTTTAGAATTATTTTCTTAGGCAAAACTTCTAGATCAAAATTTTATTTTGAGAAATTATCATTTAGTATTTTTGAATTATTAATTATTATTATTATTATGATTACTTTTTCTGTTTTGTGTTATTTGAATTACTAGTGTGAATTCATTATTTTCTTTATTGTGAGGATACGTAAACTTTCAAGCATAACTGTAGCTGATAAAATGTAAACTTTCGCAATAACCTAGATAATAAACTCTGAACCCTGAGTCTAGTAAGCCAAGTTAAATTTTACACATGAAAATCTTTCGGAAACCAAAAGACTGACAATATCTTAGCCGACAGTCCTCTTTACAATATGCATCCATTGAAGTCTGGATGATACATATTTTTCTAAAGTAAACACTTTATGAAATGATGCAATTTATAAAGCAGACTAACATACAGGATAAACTCACTTGAACAGGTTTGTTCCCTGATTTATTGCCATGCTGCGGTGCTCATGAATACTGTATGTAAGCAAACCCTGCATTTCATCATAACCAGCAATAACGTTTTCTTTTTTTTTTTTTTCTGAGCTTTTTGCTGACATTCCCTAATAGCCAAAACGCTCCTCCAGCAGCCACCCAGTGCCCCCATCACCAGCCATATTGCACATTAAACATACAGTGTCACTTGTCCTTAACTGCCTATGGATTGGCCTTAATTAATAATTAAATGCTTTTGGTTGTAATGGATTGACCTGGGCTGAACTGTTCATTAGTCAGCTAGACGTAGCGATCATTCAAACTATTTTTCCCGTGCCCTTTGCTGTCTCCATGTGAGGGGAGAGAAAACACAGTGTTGTCCCTGCTGGAGCAGCAGAGCCTTACTGTCCCTGCTAATTTGGTGGCTTCAAGGAAGACACAATAGGATAAGCTTTGTCTGGAAAGATTGAAATCGCTTTGAGAGAATTTGTATCCTGGCTAATTAACTATTTAGCTAAAGTACATTGGTAATTATTTGGGGAAATAGCAGTGTGTGGTTACCAGCACAGCCTACTTGGCTTATTTGTGCATTTCATATTAGGTTAAAATCTCATACAGTTAGATGTTTTAGGCAAAACATTTCTCTTCCGTTAATGGTTGAAATATTTATAAAAATATTTGGACAACTATAAAATACCAGCTTAGTTATGAGAACTAAAGTAAACTAGACTTAGTGAAGTAAATGTTTGGGACATCGTCCTTACAATCATACTTCCTCTGGTTTTATCTCTTTGCTTGCATGTGAAAAAATTGCAGTATGGCTTGTTTTCCCTACAAACCCTTGAAATGTCAGTTCCTCGCATCAGAACAGACAGCATTTAAACATGCTGCGCCTTTCTCCTGGAATAATCTACAAAATGATCTAAACTTCACTGATATTATTACATCGGGAGAAGTTAAAACGATTATAAAGGAATGGGAAACTAATACTATTTGTCAGTGTGACTGCTTCTAGTCTTTACGTATTACTGTACATTAAAAAATATATATTTTTTATTCTTTTGTGTATGATTCTGACTTTTATTATTGTCGCTATGTTGTCGCTGCCCTCTGGGCCGGGTCACTGTTGAAAAAGAGATTTTATGTTCATTTCAATCATCGATCTAAACATAGATGACAAAAATTTTTATTTATTTATTTTTACCTAGTTATATAAAGGAAATAAAATAAATCCTTCTGTTGTTACTCCAATCAGTACATGTTGTGGTTTGTGCTGGTTTTCCCCCTTTACAGCTTTAGAGCTAAATATGAAAATTCTAGCTTGCAATTAAAGCCTTATTCACCTTCAACTGAAGGTTTGATGGACTTTTGCAGTTAATTGGACCAGATTTGATCTTTACATCATTGTGTTGTTGTTGTGTTTTGTGTATTTTTTTCATCCAATTAATTAATTGCATTTTTACATATTTGATGTATTTTATGACACTTATCTGCACAACTTCTTAACCCTTTACAGGGCACTCCGAAATACTTTGAAAATCCAAATTTCAAGCCAATCATGTTATTGAAATAAGACCTCATTAGCTTTGTAACATTCAAAAAATAGGATATTTTGATGGCAAAAATTATTGTCAGTGTAATAACAAGAACCGCCAACTTGCCCGAATATATTAAGAAAAATAACAAAAGTGCTTCTATAAAATTGAAATATGAAATTATGAAATTCATGAAAAACACTCTGAGTAAAAGAAACACATTTCTTGATCCAACATAACCTTAGATGCATTAATGCTGATACTGGCACTTAAATTTTTTTTAGTTTTATAAAGCTAAATATTATTGTTAACTAGGCTTATTAACATTTTTACTTTACTTTTAACTTTAATTAGCTTTTTACCTTTTTTTCTTGGCTTAGTTTTTTGTTTTTTAACTTAATTTACAGTAGGTAATATATCATTCAAGGGCTCATGTAATTAGTCCAATGCAAAAATTAGATGTACAGCCATGTAGCAGTATCTTTGCTGAATACCTGATCTAGATCTTTTGCTTCTAGAACTCACTGAGGGACGGTGGGGGGACTCCATTTGTAAGGGGTATGCAAGTGATCAAAATTGGTACCTTGCCCTATAAAGGGTTAAAGATGCTCCAAGCCAGTCAACAATTTTGCCCTCAGTAGTTTTCAGACCTTTTATGCAGCGACTTTTGTTTTGTCTCTTTACTTGTTCAATCTTGGTAAGTTGAGCTATCCTTGTAATCCCAACATTTGTGTACATGGATTTTTGATACACCACTGTTTGAATAAGAATAGAGCAGCAAGGTGGAGCAGTTATGCTTGTGATGGCCTAGTAACCTGTTCATCCCCCACCCACCCCCCATATTGCTGTTGGAGCTAATCACCAGCCCTGCTGTAGCCCTGAAACATTACTATTAGCTAGATTATTAGATAGATGAAAAATGGATAAAAAAATTTATGTTTTTATTTCATACCAAACTAAGGCCCAAAATAAAGTTGTTGTTTGGTGGCAAACAGAAATTTAAGTGGGCCAATTATTTGAAAAAAACTCCTCTAATGAAATCCAAACAGCTGATCTTTTAAATAGCGGCTCAGTGTCTTAGTTTTCATTTTTCTTTGTAGGTTTGACATGAACAGACCATGAGAGTTGATGGAAACCATTTAATTTACACATTTTAGCTAATAATGCATCAAACAGGTTAATTCATTCAACATCTGATTAAATCAGGTTAGAATTAATGGTACTATTCAAGAGTTCACCACACATTTTGTAGTCAGTATTTAGCATTTGTTATGTCTAATTGCTGATTTTATAGTAATAGATAGTTTCTGGTTATCTGATTGAGATGGGAGCAAAGCACCAAAGGGAAAACAAGCATACTGTTATTGTTATACAAATAATTGCTGCTGTATTAACCTTTATGACACACTGAGAATGGCTCTCGTTTAGGACCACGTGTATGTTTAATTGACCTTAATTTAGCTTCTCTTCATTTAGACGGTTTTAGTGTATCCCTGAGAACCAGGCTCGCACTGTTGAGCCAAGGTCTTAAATTGGAAGTTCTCCGCAGTTGTTCCCGCCATCTGTCCACTGTCCTCGCTCATTAATGTGCTTCCTCTCCTCTGTTTGTTGAATAGCAAGTGGCTTTCACTGATAAAGAACTCCCACTTTATTTTCAAGCCTGTAATTACTGATCTAATTTTGCCTAATAATTGCTTCATGGCAATGACATGTATATTTACTTGTAGCCCTCGTAGCATGTGCGCTGTCTTACAGTGGAGCAAATTGACAACCAGAGGAATAATTTAAACAGACCAGTCACTTTCATCAGCCTGCTTGTCTTTTGTACCTTCGCCTGCTGCCACATCAAAGCTGCAGCAGTGCTGCACTCAGCTGGAAACGTGAATACATGCATAATGTGGTTGTTTCTGCAAAAAAATAAAAAATAAATAAGGTGCATTAAAGGTGCATGCAGATACAGGAGCACGGATTGAATCTACGCAAAGGATGATCTCACTTTCCTGTTCAACCCTCTTCACACAGTCTGGATCTAATTTTGATCGTGTTTCCAGACTGGAATGTCTGTTTGGGTTTCATATAGTGAGGCTTGTAGTGTGCAGTGCTCAAGGGCATTTGTTTGTGGGTGCAGGTTTGTGTGCTCGCTATGATGCATTGTTCATCCAAGCGGCGACACGGCTGTGAAGTGTTGTGAGATTAGGGGGAACCCATTCCTTTGTTAATTTAAATGGGTTCATGCATCATGCTTTGCGGGAGGCTGCCGATCAGAGCATTAAGGAATGGCGAACACAGCCCAGAGGTGTTTTTACAGGCACAGCAGGGTTTCTCTATTCAAGGGGTCTACTTTACGGCATTTGAATAAACGCCTGGTTGTGGATCCTGGCATTACCATTGTCTGCATGTTTAAGTCATTTGTATTTTTTTCTGTTGACCTCGTAGATTACAGCCTACTAATCCACCTACTAACTAGCTTAAATTCTTCAGACCTGATAAAGCTTCGATGCTTTTGTGTTAGGAGGAAGTGTTTCCTTAACTTCTCTATCCCTATATAAAATAACTGAGGTTGTTTATTGAAGCCTGATTGGTTTTAATATATCTTTCTACTGAAAGCATAAAACAAGAACTGAAGCAGAATAAATGCAACAAGATGAATTTACAGTATGATGTAAAGCTTGGAGAGGTAATCTGGCACAGTTTATTCAGCTTCACAGGTCAGAGAGCCAACATCGTGCACTTTCTCCTTTCCTTTTAATTTTATTTTAATCCAGACACTTTGGAAATAGTTGTAGCAAACTAATCAGTAACCTGATCTTATTTCCAACTTTGAAATTAAGTCAAATAGATTTTTATACATTTTGAATTTTCACATTGTGCACGGTTGTTTTTCGGTGAAAAAAACAACAGGATAATCAGGAACATTTTGAAACGTGTTTGACAAAGGAGGGCAATCTGTAAAAAAAAAAAAAGGTTTATCCCTATGGAAACAAAGGGTTGCAATGTTTTAAAGGGCTTAATATTTGAGAAAAAAAATCCTACATCAAATTCTGTCCTTTAGAGATGTAGCCTTGATTTAAATGACCTGCAGAGATTCACAGCAGCTTTTGTCAGGCTGGTTCCTTTATCCAGTTTCATCTCCCTCCATCCTTTGGCAGTTGGTTATATTTGAAACCTTACAGCCTCCTTAAATTCTCTCTGATTAGCTCCCTTTTTCTCTTTGTCATTGAATTGTAATAATATTGGAATTTTAAATCACTAAAAAAGTAAGTTTGTGATTAAAATAAAAAAAACTACACGGTCCTATTTCTGAAAATGCTAAATTCTTAATATTGCTACTAGATGTGTCTGAAGTCTGATACCAGAGTCCAAAGAGTCCAGCATTTTTAGGGTACAGGAGCTAAAATCTGAGTTTAATTTAATCAAGATTCTCTAAGGACACATATTCTGTGGTGATATGCTGTATTGGTAATAAAATAAAGACACACTGTGAGCTTTAGCTCTTTATTCAATGTAGCCTTATGTTTTTATCCTCTTTCACACGTAAACCGGGTTTTTGCATTTGTTTCATTACCTGATGGCACCTCTATCCCCCTGTGAATAAAACTCTAACTTTTGCATAAATATAGTATTATTTTACTGTGTTTTTTCCCCTTTTAGTTAAGAACTAGTTTGTTTCTTTTTTCAGTGTCCATGGTTTTTATTCTTAGACTATTATAACCTCTCTGCTGTTTTCAGGACAAATAAAGTAAACAATTTCTCTTCATTCTGATGTTCACAATAAAAAAAAAAAAATCCACTGATAAACGACCAGAAGATTTCATAGGTTTTTCCTGAACAAGTTCCCACATTAGTTTGCTGAAATCTTGGCTCATTCCCGGCAGAATTGATGTAACTGGTTCAGGTTTGTAGACAATCTTACTCACAGAGAACACTTAAGTTCTTCCCACAGTTTTCTACAGGATTATACGGTGGTCACTCCAAAGCCCAACCTTTAACTTTCTGACTTATATTGTAGATTCTCACAAAACGGTCTCTCCTTGATGTGGCCATCTATTTTTGGAAGTGCAGCTGCCAATTTCTGCAGCAAAACACCCACACAGCATGGTACTAACACCGCTAAATAATTTGAACGATGTTTTCAGGGTTTCAAACTTCCGTGCTTTCCTACAGCATTGCATTTGCTAACTTTAATAATTCTTTTTGGTGAGTAGGGGCCTCATTTTCACTGAGAAAGCCCAATCCTATCTTTCTATATTTTTACACTATTATTCTTTCTTTTGTGATTTAATTTTAAGTGACAGGCATCAGAAAATAGCAATAAATAACTGTTAATATTCATATAAACAAAAGTATGTATTTATATAAATACTTAAACATGTTTCCACCTCATCTAACTAATGATTTCTTTTTCAAACTCATGCTAACATGAGGAAACAGAGGTTTAAAAAAAGCCTATCTAGGTCTATTTGCTTGTATTCATTTCATCCCAAACAATAAATCTATTTAACAAAATACATTTCTATAAGTTTTAACAAACACACGCAGAACAAACCTGTCAGGGCATGTGCACTTGCCTCCCACCTGCAACAACACTATTTCACTATTTATTCTGGAGTTCATTCACAAATTTCTCAATCACATATTCCTGGACTGCAGAGGACACGGTTATAAACATGTATTGAAGAGATAATGGTGATCCGCAGCCACAGGTGGGTAGAGTACCCACAAATTTTATTCAGATAAGAGTAGCACATCATATTTTAACTCATTTGGGTGAGAAGTAGCCGTCCAAGAAATTATTCAAGTAGCAGTGTAAAAAAAAAAATACCCAAAAAAACAGTTGTTATGATAAACTCATAACATCTTATTTAAATTATTAAATTAAATTTA